ACCAGAGCTCCTCACATAAAGGATATATCCCCTAAAATTAACAGTAGGTATCTCTAGGAAATGGAATCATGGATGTCTCTAGGTTTTTCTTTTTTCTAATCTTTATTTCCTAAATTGTCTACAATGAATGACTTTGCTGAAAAGAAAACATATGCTATCACAATACACAAGTGGGAAGGTAGTTAATACTCAACAAAACAACTTATTAACCCAAATCTTTCAAAATGGGAGCCTATGGGGAAAAACAACCACTGGTGTTAGCAGGGTTGGGAGCCCCCCTCAGGATCCCAGGTGGAGAGGCTGGGAGGAGCAGTCCCTTGCAGGTGTAGGCAGTACTTACAGCCAGTTTCTCCTTGACCACACTGGCCGTGGCTGCAATGGTGCAGGCAGTGTCATGCTGAACCACCTGGGAGAACTCGGCCAGGTCCCGCTTCATAAACTCCAAAGCTTCAGAGGACTATGGAAAGACAGAGAGGATGTCAGAGCCAGCTGGCCCCACCACACCTTGTTCCTGTTCCCTATGATTTTTTAGTACCGGACTAACACATGGAAAATGCAGGTGAGAGGGGGAGCCTGGGCTCAGAAAAAATGTTCATTTGTCCCAATTCTGTGACCTGAGTTTACCTGACAGCAGTGTGTGCAGGGGAACTTCCTGCTGATCTGAGCACAGGGATTGAGTCTCAGCTTAGGCACTTACAAGCTACCTGGCCACGAGCAAGTCTTATTCAATACTCAGTTTTCAATAATGAGGGAGGTGGACCACATCAATGATTCTCAACAGTGATCTGGGGAGGGGGCCCATACAGTCTGAAAACAGACTCTGCTTTGATTTGCTTTAAGTCATAATTTTTATTTCAAATAACATGAAGAAAAGATGTATGACTTTTATATTCAACAAAGGAAGGGGGGAGGGATTAAGAGAAACACAGGATCAGAGTCTTTTTAAGGCCTTGTGCCACCATTCCACGCTCCTACTTATCCAGAAGGCTCCTTTGGGCAACACTGCCATCTGCTTCTCACCCTGCACTCACACTCAGCCTGGGCATGCAGCTCCTCGCTCTCTTCCAAGTCTTGCACACGCTCCAACTCTAGGACACCTTCCTGGATAACCTCCGTGCTTATCCCTGAAGAGCCTCTCATTTCACCTGGGGATAATCACTTGCATTTTTTTTTAAAGCTTGTTTCTGAGTAAGTATTGTAGTGGTTTCTTCTTCTGGGAAGGGCTTGCCTACTTTTCACCACCGAGGGAAGTCTGTGAGGGGGACAGTCTCCTCGATCAGCCACTGCTTCTCTGGGGATGAGAACCATGCCTCTGTATTAGACTCAAAAACCAGAAAACCAAACCCACCGCTGTCGAGTCGATTCCAACTCACAGCAACACTATAGGACAGAGTAAAACTGCCCATAGGGTTTCCAAGGCTATAAATCTTTATGGAAGCAGATTGCTACATCTTTCTCCCACCGAGCAGCTGGTGGGTTTGAACCACAGACCCTTCAGTTTGCAGCCGAGTGTTTAACCACTGCTCTACCAGGGCTCCTATCAGACTCGAGGTGAGGGATATCATGTATTACTTGACACTCTCCATCCATATGGCTACCACCTGAGTCCAGGCCACCTGCTCTTTCATCTGGACTCCCCTCAGGTTGTACTCATGATACTTTTACTTCATTCTGCTCATGACAGTCAGAGGGAGCTTTGTAGAAGTCAGAGGGAATACAGGCTATCTGAGACAGGTACCCAGGGGGAGCTGTCCTCAATTATGAAGCTCTGGAGAAAGGTTTGGTAGAAACAGGACAATAAAAGGGATCACCTAGGAAGAGTGTCTACCATGAGCACAGCAGTGGGCTGGGGACAGGCTCTGTGGACCACTGTCTTTAAGGGGCAAGCAGAGGAAGAGGGACTCAAGAAGCAGTCAGGAAAGGAAAGATCAGAGAAGCATGTGGAGAATCGAATGAGAATCATGTCACGAAAGCCACGAGAACAGAGTTTCAAGAAAGAGAGTGATCACCAGTATCAAATTCAGCAGAAAAGTACAGAAAGATAAAGGCTGAAAACTACCCACTGGATGTGGCAAGTAGTATATGAAACTGAGTGTGAATATAGATATGTTGGTAGGTGGAGGCTTCAGGGTGGGGAGGGTGTTGAGATATCAGGCTTGTTGACTTCAAATTTTAAAAAGTAGGAGGTGGTTGTTAGTCTCCTGAAGTGAAAAGGCAAGTGGGTAAATAGAAGACTTAAGGGCAAGAGTTAGGTTTTGCAATTATGTATGTCTAAATGGAGAGTGTATCCAAGATCATATACAGGGTTGGCAGACAATGGGCCTCTCAGGGTGTATGAAGGGATGGACACTGGGAGGAGGTAACTATGGGGAGGAAGTGGGAGGGGAGCTGCTGCATTGTAAATTTTGGTCAATGACATGAGACAAAGTATATGTGAACTGCTGTATGAAAAGTGAATTTACTCTGTAAATCTTCACCCAAATCCTAAAAAAAAAAAAAAAAAAGAGTTAGGTTTTGGGGAAATTTCTGCAAGTAAGGGGAGGAGAAGCAAATTTGGCACTCAAAAGGCTGGACGGGGATGGTGGTGGTGGTACTCAGGCCCAACTGAGACTGGAGAATCTGTAGTGGGACCAATGAGCAATGTGACTTTTCCACCCATACGCAGCATGCACACACACACCAATGGGAGAAGGTAAGGAGCACAGGAAGGCAGATCACAGTACTATTTCAGAGTTGTAGTCTTGGGGCAATGTGTGCCAAAGAAGGAGTACAAGGGAATTGAAAGCACTGAGAAGTTAGTTAAGTGATCCAGATAGATCTTGGATGGGAAGGGAAGGAAGCAAGGGCAGGAAAGCACTGAAAGACCAAGGGAAAATCGAAGCAACAATAGAGCAGCTGTATCTGTAAAGTTTCCTCATCACCCTCAGATGTTTATATAATACTAAGAAATGTTCTAAGTGCTTTACATATCTTATCATTTAATCCTTACAACAACTCACCACGTAATGACGAATTGAAGGCCCAAGAGGTTAAATAATTTGCTCAAGTTCATATAAGAGTAAGTAACTCAAAGAGAGAAATGAAGTTTTTCCTTCCCAACTGAGGAATTACCAAAGGAAGAAACAACACTCCCTTGCTTCAAACTGGATGGTCCCCCCAGGACCAGGATGGAAAGCTTAGCATTATTTATGCATAAGTTACAGCAGGACTGATGTTGATGACACTACACAGGAGCCCTCACTCAACATATGCTGAATGAATGTTGCTTTCCTTTCAGGAGGTGGCTCAGTAAGAAGCAAGCTCCTCTATTAAACCTTAGAGTGAAATCCTCTCTTCCAGTCCTCATCAACAACATACAGCAGCAGCTCAGGGTCTCTGACCTGCTGGGCTGCAGCTGAAAGGCCGGTCCAGGAGTACCCAGGCTCCAGGAGGACTAAAAATATTGCCAGAGTAGGAACTAATTTAACCGAGGCTGGCGGCTCAAACCCACCAGCCACTCCTCAGAAGGAAGGCTGGGCAATCTACTTCTGTAGTGATACTGTCTCGGAAACCCAAGGAGGGGTCGCTATGAGTCGTGTCTGACTCGATGGCACATAACAACAACATAGCCTCCTGGAGTCCACCCTGAAGCAAGAGTCACCCTAGCTGCTTGAGACAAACAGTAATTAACTTTTCCCACAATTCAGTGGGGCTGGTTTTGACAAACCAACATGGAATGAAACAGGAACCCATGCTGGCAGCCTTTCAAGGGCCTCCACTCACTGGCTGTCAATTTTCTCTCTCCCCCTAACCTCCTCTGCAAACCCCTCACTATGACAGAACTCATTAGGCACCAGTGTCTATGGCTCATGTTCATCTTCAACTTAACTTCTTGCTTCTTAGCCTGTCTACACAGGGTCAACCTCAATGAGGTTCCTGCCCCATGGAGGCCTTCCCATGAAGGTTCCTCCTGTGCTTCCCTTTCACAGCCCTTACCACAACTGTAATGAAACAGCTGTTTGTTTATTTGGCTGCTTGCTTAATGGCTGTCTCCCCACTAGACTGTGAGCTTTGTAAGGCCCAGGACCTCATCTGTTTGTTTAACATCTGTATCCTTAGGATCTGTCAGAGCACTGGCTGTGGTATTTACTCCTTATCTGAACGACCAAAGAATAGGTTTTCCCATTAATCTTTTTTTCTTTAAGTTCTAGATCAAATGCTCTGTCCTCCTCCAAGAAGTTCTGAAATTCCCAACTTAGAATAAATTGCTCCTACAAAAGGGTAGCTCTTGCCTTTAAAACAATCCTTATTTCACACCGGCTAGGATCACACTGGTCTGGGTCTGTCCTCCCGTACACTGGCAGAGGCTAAACGTAGGGGCTCAAGTCAGGTCTGCCTCATCCCTAAGGCCCGGCGCCCACACAAGCCGCGCGGGGCTAGCGACCGGGTTGCAATGAGGCAGCGCGGGGCCCTGCCAGAGGGAGGGCGCCGGCCCGGCTTACCTTCTCTTTGACTGCTTGGTAGCTCTGCTGAAGCCAGCTCCGCCACCAGCCCACGTCCTCCCTGTGGAAGACAGACACATCTGGCGGCACTGCGGTGCAAACCCTGCCCGCCCGACCATCAGGCCTCAGTTTCCCCCTGAGATGTGGCCCGCGGACCAACGTTTCGTCCCCGCCCCCTCACAATGCGATTCCACTCCGCTTTTTCAACTCTGTCCACAACCGATGTCTTCCTGTTCCCCATGGGAACCCTGGCCCAGCACCCCAACCCTGGGAGAGTTCAGGCCCCAACGCCCAGGAGCGGGATGACGGGCTCACCCTTCCGCCATCTTGCCCACATGACATCACCACTATTTACTGACCTTTGACTGCCGACATGGCCCCGCCCCTCCAAGTACCGCCCCGGAACTCTCGGCCCAATCCCCGCACGGGCACCGCCCTCAGCCCAGTCCCCGCCCACCCCACCATTATGCCCCGCCTCCCTGAGTTTGGTCCTGTGTCGGTCCGGAGCTCGCCCTTAAATTTTGGATTTTTTTTTTTTTTTTCGCCCTTAAATTGCTCCCTACAAGCTCCGTCCAATCCTCATTCAGCCCCAGCCTTAGGCCCCACCCCCGAGCGTTGACCCAACCTCCACCATCCTTGAACCTTAATCGGTTATGGATCCGCTGATACCCGATACGGTGGCCGCGGTGGGACAGGATCGGCAAACTGGCTGGATGGCGCAGAAATGGGCGCAAAGGGGAGGATCTGAGGGAGCGTAACTGGAACTCGAACGTCGTGATCCCAAAGCGCAGGGCTAGGACCGCCCCCCTTTGTGAAACCAGACGCGTAGCAGCTGCTAGTGGTCTCATCTGGCTAATTCAACAAGTGCAGACTGCAAGGCTTTGGGCCAGGGTTTGGAGGCGTGGAGAAAAATTCAGAGATGTCTTCGATGGAGCCTCATGAGAGGCTCCGCCAAGATCGGGGAGACAGACAGACATTCAATTATCTCAACCGTCGGCTGCCCAACTCAGAACTAAGCGACCTGAATATAGTCAGGAGATATCCAGAGACTGCCTGCAAGAGGGAGATTTACAATGGTTTGAGTTCGATAGATTGAAAGATACGGAGGGTTTTTGCAGAGGAGGACACCCTCTCACCGCCTCATCTACTAACTCACCTGCATTTGTGTTCACATACTTTGCCTCTTGCTAGGATACAGCTTTGTTGTTGTTGTAGTTAAGTGCCGTAGAGTCGTTTCCGACTCATAGCGACCCCATGCACAGCAGAACGAAACACTGCCCAATCCCGCGCCAGGCCCACAATCCCTGCT